TCATTTCGGAATTTAGGAGTTTAAGTGAGTATTTAATCGCATTGTTTTAGATTTATTAATTTTACACGTGGTTGCTAAGGAGTATTTTATTTTATGGTATAAGAATCATAATCAGACTATTCATTTAGTTTACACGATTGCATATCTTATAATAAATAAATTAATTAAATTTATCATTATATACACAGTTGCGCGATATTGTAAATAATATTTTTGTAAGCAAATTGAGAGAAAGAGACACTTTTATTTTATTTTCTAAACACACACATGAGACATTAGTAACCACTGCCGACAATTATATTGATAGCACGGCTCATTAATTAACGTCCTTCAATGCGTCGCTGTATCAGCTGGTATCTGCGACACGATTGTATGTCTATGAATAGAAACGATTGATTACCTCTCTTAATGGACAGGAAAATAATGAAGCATCGCAAATGCATAAAATTAATCAACTTAATTCAATGATTTATTAAAGTAGCAATTACATATATTACGTGTGAAAAAGATATCTAAAATCTCAAGCTAAATAAAATAGATAAAATGCTCAAAAGGGATTTTTACGAAAACACTATTACACGTATCTTTTCACATTATCGTCGCGGAATTCCCCCTGCTAAGTCGAGACTTCCGTAAAATGGGAGGGGGATTCGCGATTTGGAGCGAGCGAAGGGAAAGAAACGCGGTGGAATAGCAGAGTTACCTGGTTTGTGCCGTGCCCGGCAGTTGATCGGAGCGTGACGAGCGGTAATTGAATGTAGGTATGGCATTTGCATTGACAAGCTCTAACAGAGATAATTCGAATCTCGTCGAACGCAATGGTCCACACGGGCGTTAGGTCGTTTGTCAATACGACGGCGGCCGTCCAGTTTCCACGTTTCCAGCGGTATCGCTGTTTGTCACCGTCTCGTCGACGATCGTTCGCCGCTGAATACACCCAGTGCTCGCATACTTCTGCGGCGCGAACGCGTTTCGTTCCGTTCCGTTTTGCGAGCCACGCCGTGCCTGTCAAACACACGAGGCTGTCGGTCGAAGATTATTACGGTCACCGCTACATAAATTCTCTTTGGCGAAAAAAAAGGAACAACTGATGGGAGTTGTCTCGATCCAATTATCATCTCTGTCAAATAGATATACTCAAATTTAAACTTTGAAACTTTGAATTTAATTAGCTACTTTCAGGAAATTAATGGAAGATTTGGAAAGTATATAAAAAAAAATACGAGTTGAAGAAAAATTGGAATATTATTGCTGAATGTCTTTGAAAAAAAAAGATTAAAATGTAAAAATTGCAAATTTTTTTTCTTGGTTGAAAAGAGATACAAAGATATCGTTTCGTAGGAGCGCCAAACAGATGCAAAAAAAAAAAAGGAAAATCTTTTCGAATTTGTTGATTTTATACAAGTGTGGATCCGCACATGTCCGTAGAACCTCGAGTGTTTGCCTGCCGGCAGGTTCGCGACCGGTTGGATATCGTCAGGATATATTCGCGCAGGAAATGGGTAGTTCCATTGTTTGCACATTCGTACAAACAGTGCAACTGCGAGGATGCGCCGGGACCACTGTTTGATTTTCGAAAGTGAAGCTTCATTGTACGAGATACTGTGTTGTACGAGTGTCCCGATGCATATGAAACAACGATGCGTTTTGAGGGAAAAAAAAAAACGCGAACCTCTCTCTCTTTCTCTCCCTCTGTCGATCGAAAGGAGAGATTGTTGAAATCGAACAAATGATATATTTTCGCAAACTTTTACGCCGATATTCGATGCGCCAGAAGTTTCTTCCTCGCACGCAAATTCAACATGGGATTTGACGTGATTAATTCCGCGGAAACTTTTGCCCGAGCCTAATTGGAAGTATCGAGATGCTGCAACGCCGATCGCACGCGAGAGAGGAGAAAAAATGTACGCGCGCGCGTTGCATGGAGAAAACCGATCAAATCGGGGTTCGATAGATCGATCGAAGGCTCTCCCGGCTCCCCACCGATGTCCAGCACGCGAGCCATACCGCAAAAGGGTCGAGGGGAAAGAGAGAACGCGCGAGTGAGCGAGAGTACCGAGAGAAAGAAAGCCGACGTCGTGAGAGGGAGAGATCGAGTCCGGTGGGAGATAAAGCGATAAAGAGCGGCGTGCGCGTGAGAGAAAGAGGTTTACGCTAGGCGGAATGAGAGGGACGGGAAAGAGAGAGGGTGAGGAAGAGAGCGAGGGAGGGAGCGAGAGAGAGAGAGAGAGACAGCCAGAATAGGGAAGGAAGGTTGGAAAAGAGAGAGAGGGTGAGGAAGAGAGCGAGGGAGGGAGCGAGAGAGAGAGAGAGACAGCCAGAATAGGGAAGGAAGGTTGGAAGGAGTGGGGTGGCAGAGGGGTGTGAGAGAGGAACCAGGAAAGGGGAAAGGGATGCTGCGTGTGTTGGCATGGACCAGTGCGTCAACGGCTGTTGCCTCACACGAACCGCCGAAATTATAGTTAGTGACCCCCAACGGATACTTCAGAAATACACTCCCGACTCTATATCGGACTGCCACTTTCGCGCTGCTCGCAACGGGGAATAAGGATGATTCGAGGGTGCCGCTAACGAACCGCCAAAGGGGTCCCTTCGGGATCACCTTAGGGGGGATCGTTCGTAGGAGACGTTCTCCGAACTCGACCGAGCGATCTTGACAAGGCGCGTTTCGAGAGACACAAGATCATTCCCGGTTACCGATAGCTTGTTCGAGTGAAGTGTTTGACAAGATAGGCGAGCGCACATTTGTTCTCATCTTGAATAGGACTTTGTACATCCAAGTGCGCGTGATTATGCGAGAGTTTTTTAGTGTCGGTCGACGATGATATCGTACGTGATATCGTGTAACGCTTGATTAGTCAATCGTCGATTATTCCGTTAAACGGATAATCAATCGAGTGCTTGAAATGCGAGTAAGTGAAGATTTTTGAAAAGGTTACTTTATTAACGCTCGTATCTCCTAAAACGACGGATATTTCTCTCATTTACTTAGAATACTTGGATACTTCTCTTTTTTCTAGATATTAGTAAATGAAAGGGAGAAAATAAGAGGGGAGATACGTTTGCGATATATTAAATGTGTTTTAATAAAAATAGTGAACAATTTATATAGTTTACAATTACTTGTTGTACAAACATAACTATCGTTACATTGACTCTTTTTGGAGGAATTTTTTTGATCAAACTTTGATTTTAAAAATTTTCTTCGATTTCAGAACGTTTAAAGATTATATTGCTCATATTCAATTTACTTGTTAATTGTTTACAAGATGTTTGGAATCGGATAATAAAGTGCTATCAGTGTTATAATTCCACCGGAAGATAGTAAACAGAACGAGTTTCGTAAGAGATTTGAATGCGAAGTTAAGCGAGAATCTTAGCCGTCGCAAAGTCGACGAGTGTTCTTACAAAAGAATCGTGAGAAAACGTACATCGATTGCTATTATTACAGTTCTTAAACATAGAAACACTTCGCATTATTCTCTCATATAATCAAAATTTGGTTTCGGCTTTAGAGAAATGTTGAACACGCATCAATTGCTTTATATAACATTATTTTGGATAATATATAACACAATATGTAATTTTATCTTATACATTTCGAAATCGAAATAATCGATTAATATATTTGTCACGTATGATTGATATAGTGAAATTATTTCTAAAGCGAAGCTCCTTATGTTCCGCCGGATATAATGACCGACAAGAATTAAAGAGACAATTACTGGCGGTTATCGATTAACATGTTTACCGTATAATAACTGTATTCATAGACATGTTCAACTTTGATCGGGTCTTCGTCTTATCGTCAATTTGATATCGGCTGGCTCGGGATTTTCAAGTCGCGAGACCGTCATTGACAGGAGGCAACGTAGTAAACGTAGCCACGTGCAGTTTGACACGCGGTCGTACGTGCGTAGGGGTTGGGCATTCGTGTGGGGGGTGCCTACCGCCGGGCGTTCTTTTTCCCCTATTTTTTCCGTCCCCACCATCGTGCCAGTCTGCCCCTCCTGGAACCACCTGGATCCGGCGTGTCAGCCCCGGTGACGTGCGCAAAAATTACTGAATGAACGGTGACGTCACGAGGCCGGCCGCGTGAAAAGTGTGCGAGCCCATTCCCGTTCGTGTCAACCGTTCTCATCCCCTTTCGCTTCTCTTCGCGCGTTACCCGGCCGTTCAACCACCACCGTCCGTTTTTTCGCGTCCGTTCCCGAGTCGGTGTCGTGTCGTCGCGCGGATTCGGACACAAATTCGGTTAAAGGGTCCCGATCGTGAGATAACGGCACGTACAAGATTTCATTAAACGGATTAAGGGTGGCTAGGATGCTGTTGATTAGCGACGGCCGCGCGTGGCGAGAACTTGCTTTACCAAATCAGTCTTTCGCTCTTTTAATAATCGAATTTCTCGATCATATTTAATGCGTTAAATTTTAGATCAATGTATTAGATAAGAATAGATAATTGTAGAATATAATAATAATTTTATTAAAAAAAGAAACTATAGAATAAATTGTAACAGCATTCTTGAAAGTAGATCGTTTTGTTTTTGCAGATGCAGCTGCGCATTGGAAAATAGAATATTGAAATCTGTCTCGACTCATCTCGTAAAAAAATGGAATTTTTATAAAGATTAATATTTTACGTCAAGAGCAAAAGAAGTAATCTGCATCAATTCGCCACGAAAGTGTAAAGATTGAAAGAACAAACAAATCCGCCGTCAGATTTGTACGACGATGCAAAACTCTACGGAGGAATTCGAAGAGAATTCTCACGTCGTGTTTGACATTTATCTCGGCGCCAACATTGGAGAGAGGAGATATTAAAATTAACGACATCTCACGACTGATTTGCCCCTTTGAATTTTGCGAAGGATTCTAAACTTCCAAGGACATCGGGTCAGATCTGACAGATTATGCGCTCTTGAAAGATGCTCACGAGGCTCTTTCGGCTCGGCGGGTGAACCGAATGGAAGGATGTTTCATCCGGTGTTCTGACTGCCTATGGATATATTCGGCCGTTGCAACGGCGGCGGCAGCGGAAGCACGGTAGCCGGAAGCGGTGCTGGCTCGGCGAGGACGTCGAGCAACGAGTCCGCCGGTGGTGGTAGTGGCGGCACGCCGAGCGGTACCAGCGAGAGCGGCAGCAGCGCGAGTAGCAGGATGCAGTTGACAGGAGCCTCGGCTCCTGGAGCGGCGGCCTCGCCAGAGTCGGGCGTCTCTCCGTTGACCGACGCTTACACCAAGATGACCAGCGACATCCTCGCGGAGAGGACTCTGGGCGATTTTGTTAGCGAGCATCCCGGCGAGCTGGTTAGAACAGGTGATTGACTTTTGAAAATGGAAATTATTAATAGTAATTATTCTTTCTCAATCGTGATAAACTTGGTGCAGTTTTTGTAGAGTACTTGGGAAACTCTTATATATCTATTTTCTATTATTCTATTTTCAGAGCAAATATATTATGATGCCATTTTGCTAATAAAATGAAACGGATATTTCGGTCAACAGGCTCGCCGCATTTGGTTTGCACCGTCCTGCCGGCGCATTGGAGGTCCAACAAGACACTTCCGGTGGCTTTCAAGGTCGTGGCCCTCGGCGACGTAGGCGACGGTACCCTCGTGACCGTACGTGCTGGTAACGATGAAAACTGCTGCGCCGAGCTCAGAAACTCAACGGCTCTAATGAAGAATCAAGTCGCCAAGTTTAACGACCTGAGGTTCGTCGGCCGAAGCGGAAGGGGTGAGTCGTTTCTTTCTTTAAAATTCACCGTTCGCGAGGAGCTGCGCCGTCCGACATTTCATTCATCGCGACAAAGAGAACGACGAAAGTGTCGGGCATGACATTTCTCTTTCTTTCTCTCTCTCTCTCTCTCTCTCTCTCTTTTGCCCTACTTTCTCCTCTCCATTCATAAAATTGCAAAGTTCCCGAGTCTCTTTGCGTAGAGTGTGTCGCCCTTCGTCTTTTATGCCGGAAGAAAATGCCAGAGGGGTGAAAGACGACGGTAGAAACCCCTTCAAAGAATTCGGTGTACGCCGCCGTAGTAAGGGTAGGTCGCGGTCGTCTTGAGACAACCCTCGTTTTTCCTCGGCCCTTGGAGGAAAAGTCTCTCGCGTCTCTCGGCTCGGCTCGACTCAGGGAGTTGGTTCTCCGAGCGGGCGGGGTGGATCCGAGAGGATCGCTTGGGGTGGGTAATGGCTTTTATTTGTCGGCATCACCGTGCGACCTTCTTCTCTCGCTTTGCCGCCCAGTCTCGTCGGGAAAAGGGCGAACTGAGAGGGACGGAGCTCGTCGCTCGAAGAAACCGACGACGCCGACGACGAGAAACACAGGGACGGGTGATATTAATTGAGGTTTCAGTAGAGTTTTAATTAACGTTATTAGAGCCGGTATTTCGTCTAACTGCGTCTTTTGAACTCGCGCCAGAGTCCTGGATTAACTTAAAGTATCCGCGTGTGCATCCGACCTACTTCCAACGATTTCAATAAAGTATCGTTTAACTTATATAACTTATCATGCAAGTTGTGATTTATTTTATACAGTTAAATTAATTTTGAAAATTAAGATTAAAAGCTAACATAAAGAAAAAATATGACTCGAGTTTGTTGAAAATTACAATTAATGGTGATATTTGGTGTATATTATTATTATCATATTTTCGATTGTATCGATAAGGGAAGGCTAATCGCCTCAGAATCGGGGAAACTCGCAATCTCTCTAGCTAGGAAGCGGGGAAACTCTCTTCCCCTCCCCCAAGTTCACGGGAACGCGTCAGTCATTTGTCTGGGATTAGCTCTCAATTGTTTTCGCCGAGCGCGGAATTAACATAAGCTAGGATGAAGAATGTAAGAGAAGTGTCTCTCTCTCGTCAGGATTCCTAACCGGCTCCCTGGCTCCTTGAATATTCCCTGGAAACCGATGTGCGCCGAACTCCCGGGAATTCTTAATGATTCTCTCCGTTTGTCGAGCGTGGAAATATTCGCACGTACGGATTCGCGAACAGGATTTTGTCCTTCCGATTCCTCGAGAAAGGATTAGAAATTCCTCTCAACAGCATTCTTCATTGCTTATCGCGCGTGCATAATTAACATAATTCGTAAAATATTGAAAAAAAAATTTATACATCAAAATCATATGCATTCTATTGCAATCTGCAAAAAAAAAAAAGAGAAATGTCACACATTTCGATATTATTACTATTGCAATAAATGTAAGGGATCGTTAAACGCACGAGACATCACGCTTTTGTCTTCGCCTAAAACCGCTTTTAGCCGGGACAAGATTGAGCGTACTGCCACGATAGTCGAGAGCTTTGCAATATCGATGATAAGCCGTAACCCCCTTCCCGCACGTTCGACCGTAATGCCTGCTCCATCACTGCAAAGTCTACCCTGAAGGTACTGGATTGTTTCCACCCTTCGGCCCTAAGCCCTTTAACGAGATAGATCATTTGCGCGCTTATAGTTCCAATACATAGCGGGCGAGGTATCCTTCGACTTTGTTGCCGTGAATAAACTTCATCACGGGAACGTCGCCAATCTTACCAAGTTGCTTTAATTCTACAACACACTTTCGCTTAAACCTATTAATCATTGTACTTGTGATACACAACACGAACAAGATTGAAGTGTATGTGACAAACTCGAAGACAGTTACTATCTATAAAACAAAAAAAAATTTATTCTGGTTCGACTTTTAATAAATGGAGATAAATATTTACAAAAGAGAGCGAGAGAGAGAGAGAGAGAGAGAGTGGATCTCTAATAATTCTTAATATTTGTAAATGAAAAATTATATGCTTTTTTAAAAAAAATGTATATTTTTTAAAGGAAAATGTGCGTGTTTACGCAATGTTTAATTTCAACGCAAAATATTTGAGTAATTCTCACTGATATTCGCGCCGCGAGCGTAATAAAAATTTATGAAATGCATCGAATCGGGTGGAACGCATTCACTCGCAAAGTGTTGATTTATCGGCCGCAGCGCGAGGCTCGTTTCATTTCGAAAAGAAAAACGGGCAGTCACTCGCGGTGACGGGCCGCAGTTCCTGACCGTAATCAATTCGTTATCAGACTGCAATTGCGCATTTGCGTTTCGTTCGGGGGAAAACTGAAATTAATTAATTGGCCCGACACAGCACACCGACAGCGATACAATACAGCGGGGGGACACGTGTACCGGTGCACAGACACCACGTAGTTTCACACACGCCTGCAGAGGACGGAGACATGCTAACGAGCATAATCAGCGAATGGTCGGGAACGGGGTTTCTCCGCGTAGTATTTTCCGAAATTTACAACGCGACACGCGCGCGGATGTGTAATACTTTCCGAGATATTTCGAAAATTATATCCCGAGGTGCGCGTAAAGCTGTTATATCGTGAATCTGCGAATAATTATAGGTGTGTACTCCCTGGAAAAACATGGAAGCCTGGAATACTCTCATTATCAGAGATTTCTTTTATACCTGAAAAGATCAGGGAATTCTCGTGAAATTTTGACTCGGGAAATTTTCTACAAAATTCTCTTCTTTGATAATTATAATTTTACTCTCACATTGTGTAAAAAGTCAGCCAAGTAGATTATGTGTTTGAAATTATTATAAATATTTATAAATATATATTTAATGTCTTAATAAAATATTGAAAATGTTATGGAAGTAATAAATGCTCATCTTACAAAAGTTATTTAGTTTTCTTTTCTAGCACTTGAAACTTACGAGGCTCTGTGTTTTTCCTTCGTATGAATGAAAAACAGTAGAAAATGCATGCGATAAAAAATTTTATTTTAGAAAATTGTATAAAAGAATGTTGAAAATATTTTCTTTATCTGGGATTTTGAACGAAAATACCTGGAAGATCAGGGAATCTTTCTACAAGATTCAAGTAGACAATCTGAATTGTCAGAGAGAACAAGTCTATCTGATCGATTCCACGGTGTCGTCGAGCGAAGCGAGGACTTGCCGAGTTGTGTGACAAGCTCGAATGAGAGTTAAAACAAGGCAATCGCGTTTAAAAGGTACGTAAGGACGTTGGAGCTCGATCGCGGACGATCCTTAATGGCTTTACGGCGACTGGCACCGAGGGTGATACCCCGCGTACACCACCCACGTTTACCTGACGGGAACCATGGCGGTAAAGGTGAAAAGGTTTGGTTGGCAGGCGAGAGAGAATAGCGTGACTCGTAGCCGCCGAGAGGGGAATCCCCGCTGGAAAACGAAAGGCTCGCGTGGCGAACCGCCGTGTGGCCACGCTCGACACTCGCCATTATTTCTCCGCGATGCTTCCACCTCGTTCCTGCCCCCTCGTTCATTTCTATTTTCTTTTTTTTTTCGTTCCGCCATCGATCATCTTACGTCTTACCGCGACCGGTGCTTTACCATCTCCATCGTGACTTCACCGGGTCGGGAGGGTCCGAGTCGACTCCGGTTGAACTTTATGGCCCGATCGATTATCGCCATTTCGCTATGTACGAAAACGTGTCTAATGGGTCTGATAGAAAAATACGGTAATGGCCGCACGCGAAAGGGGTAACGCGAGCGTTATAACGCATTAGCGGGAAGAAGTCGTTTAGGGGCGGATATAAATAACATAATGTGTTATCTTTTATATTGTAAACCGATGACGGAGGATAAAAGCGCGCTACCTTTGCAGCATTATCGTATCTAATTTCAAGAAAACACGTTTCGTGTTTTATATGTATATTATCTGTCGCGAGGCACGATATATGGGTTAGTAAGATGATTATTACATTTCTATCATGGGAGATACAAAGTTAGAGTGTCTATTATCTGGAAAAATACGGAAAACCTGGATTTCAGGAAATTCTCATGGAATTTTATTGGGACACGGGAAATTTTTTGAAAAATTCTCTCTTTGATCATTTTATTTCTCGTATTATAAATTCTTATATTATAAACAGTCAAATCAATCATTATATTTAAAATATACAATATATCTATCTCTGTTTATACATATATTCAATGCCTTAATAAAATATTGAATATTTATTATATATTCTACTTTGTTATATTTTTTAGTTACAAAAAAATGAAAAACTTTATGCAAATGAAAAATGTTCATCTTACAAAAGCTATTCAGTGTTTTTCAGTACATTTGCAAATTTAACATTTGAAATTTAAGTAGCTCTGCGTTTTTCCTTCGCACGAGTGAAAGGCATTAGAAAACACATACAATAAAAAAAACTTACTTTAAGAACTCGACCAAGAAATTTTTTAAATATTCTCTTTACCTGAATATTTGAACAAAAATACTTGGAAGATCGGGGAATTTTTTCAGGGACTTCTTTTACAAGATTCGAATAGACACCGCAAAAGAGAGGTGTATCGTGCCGGTGTCATGCAAATGCATCGTGAAAAAAATTGCAACAAACCGGGAAACGCACACGCGTGGTCGCTCCATCGGACGGGCCGGATGTACGGTGATGAAAAAAGGGCGAAGGGTTAAAATTGCGGTGAACCTCCACTCGCGCGCGCAATTTTTCGCCGCGGCGACTTTTCGCATCGAGAGAGAGGAAACGTTACTCTATACATATATATATATTTTCGCGCGCTTGCTTTTATCGCTTTGCTTGCTTTCGCGTGCTGTCGAATCGATCGCGGTGAAGTTTCGGCGCGTCCGCGGGTTGAAATTGCGGTGGACGCGCGTTTCTCATCCCGACGGCTCTTGCTCCCATCATCCATCCCTCTCCCTTCCCGCCCCTACGCTTTTTCCACGACACATTATTTCGCGCGTAACCGAGGCTTTTTAACGAGAACCCCCACGAGATCCTCCACCGAACTGGTCGTCCGTTCTCTCTGTTCCCTTAACTCGGCCGCGCTGGCTGGCCACCGTCACCGTCGACGACGCCCTCGATACATTACCGACGTGTAATTCGGTTACCACGGAGTTTCGCCCCGGCTAACCGCGTTTGCGAACTTTCGACGTCGGTTGAATAGGCGCGTCCACGAATCGACGCTAAAAACGCGCCCGTCTGACGTAACGTGTACGTTTTCGCCTCGTTTTTCAAAGTTGACTCTACGAGCATATTCCCACTTTGCGCATTACGGTGCATTAAAAAATTGAATGTTTGCCAACGAGAAATGTCGATGATAAAATTTTATAAATCGATAAGATGTTAGTGTGAAAAATTTGCGATCGATTGTGTTGATATACGCTAAGTGTACATCTCGTGTTTCAGGCAAGAGCTTCACCTTGACGATAACGGTGTCGACGACGCCGCCCCAAGTCGCCACCTACACCAAGGCGATCAAGGTGACAGTTGACGGGCCGCGCGAGCCGCGATCCAAGACCAGTGAGTATCACTGTAAGCATTGTTATTCTTATTATATATTTATTATTATACACTTCACGGTTACTGTCGCGCATTCCTCGAGACATACCCGCGGAATCCGGGGGGATTGCCGGGAATCTCCCGAAACGATAGTAATGCTTAACGAACGAGCGGCATGGCACCGGAGGCAGTAAAAGCCGCAAGTTCGAAATGGCCTCAATGTGCGGCTTCGTACTGGTCGAACGTTACCTCCTAGGCTAAGTTTCGCGCAATTGCCATTATTTATAACCGGCGGAGCACCCGGGCCCCCGCCATAACATTGACAAAGAGCCGGGCGTTGCCCGCGGAGATGCGTGTATGTGTGTGTATTTGTATGTGTGTTTGTATCGCGGCGCTTTAGCCAAAACGCGGGGCGACGCCTACACAAACTTGGCGGATATCCGATCGCGGGAACTCCTCCGCGAGAACAGCCACCGCCGAGACATACAATTACCAAGGACGATTCTCCACCCGTTACTTTGGTAGTCGACGACGATGCTCTGTCTGCAGGGGTTCCTCCGTAGGGGGCGAAGAGAAGGAAACGCCTCTCTCATTCTCCGTTTGTTACCTATCTACCGCGTAACCTACCGCGTAACGCGCATTGTGCGCTCTTGAAATCTAGTTTCAGACACGCCAATTTGTGGCGGACGCGAGAACGGTTCCCTTCAGAGATTTCCAAGGTCTAAGATTAAATATCCGACAAGGGAAAAACATCTACGAGGCATCGCATCACACGATAAAAATCCCGCGAGATAAACAAGCATACGCGAAAATTTTTTAGGTAGCGCCATTTTTTCCTCTTTTCAAGTTCGCTGTAAAATTAGGAGGCTTTTGCATTGCTTTGTATGATTACATTGCGACGCGACGGTATCCCATCGGCTTAGATATCAGACAGAGCGTAATGTCGTCTGTGAGAAGAGGCGTACCAAAAATATCCGATAGCTTTAATATATCGAGGCGAGGCGGTTTCTCTGGGCGGTAGCACGGAAGGCGAGGGGCGGTGAAGGGGGGGGGGGGAAAGAGCATAAGTTTGGGACCTTGGGAAATTGCGACCACATCCGCCGGCTTGGCCGCATCTGCGGACCACCCACGAAACTTCCGTCATAAATCCAAAATATGAAAACGCGAAATTTCGGTGTACCGCTCGGAGACGCGCATCCAAGCAAAATACTACGATGACGCCTCAGAGAGAGAGAGAGAGAGAGAGAAATTGAGATTGAGAGAGAAAGAGAAAGAGAGAGAGAGAGAGAATTTCTCTCACGATATTAATACGCTACTAACACTATCCGTTATCTGTCATTTAGGATTAAAAACGAAATTTGCGTTATTACGAGCGCGAATATTACGAGACAATCGCACTTTTCGACACGTCGTTTAATTAATTCCAAGTTGACGCAATTGAAATCGCCCTGGGTCTGAGAAGACGTTTTGCGAAGCGGCGTTAAAAAAAAAAAAAAAAAAAAAAAATAAGCATCTTTAAAGCGAACGCCGGATATGAAATTTTTTTTAGTGATCGTTAAGGTAGCGTAAGAACGTCGGAAATAAGCTCGTTCGTCAAGTCGTCGGCGCTTTGAAATCTTAATGTGAAAACAAACCGTTTGCTGAATCGGGGCAAATGGCGCGACAATTTCGAGGTATGGCGGTGCGAGATGAAAGAACCTCGTCTTCCTGGGTGGTCCGCGTGCGCTTCTTTCCGATGCCCGCAATCCACGTGTCTCATCTCACTTGTTTGTGAACAAGCTGAATGAGCATCTTCCAACTGTTATATATTTTCGTGAAAATAACACACATCTGGTTTTTTATATATAATTTATTGAATTATGTAATAATTTTTGAAAGACACAGACAAATATATGAAACGTAAATATATATGTATTTCTTTTTAGAGCATCTTCATATATTTTCGTGAAAATAACACACATCTGGTTTTTTATATATAATTTATTGAATTATGTAATAATTTTTGAAAGACACAAAGACACAGATGAAACGTAAATATATATGTATTTCTTTTTATGTATATAT